GCCCCCCCCCCCCCCCCCTCCCCACTTCCCTCTATCGAATGCCCCCATTTGTCCCTCAGCACCTACCCCCCGTATGATAACTGAGAGATGGACCAACGAGAATATTGCTTTTGGTACAGCAGTGGTGGTCCGATATACCGTACCGCGGTGTAGTGCCAGGCAAATATCACTGCGGTACGGTATATCGGGACGCCGCGCTAGTGAGTGTTGGGGAATGTTGGGGAATGTATGGCTTTTAGCATGTCAGCCAAATCCCGTGACAGGCAATTTCACCACGGTGTATCGGGGCCGCGGTATTTCGCTACGTTTTGCGGTGTTGGAGCCTGTCTGCCTGTCTACACTAGACGTGCTGGTGAAGCATTGTTACGGTGCTACGGCACCCCCATTTGTTGATGGCAGAGAGAGGCGCACACTGGTGTTATCAGGACATGCGCCCACAAGTTGGACAGCACTCACTCTAATGGGCACGACCGCTTCCGAATCATTCTCAACACATGAAAACCGCTAGCATGATACCACTTCCGTTTGCAAATATGCAGACCATTCGGATCCAAACGTGAGGTTTAACCTAATGGTCCCTACATTTCCAAGCAGAGTGGTGCGCGTTTCCCCCCTCCATCCATGCTTCCCGGGGTCGAACTAACGAAAAACGAGAATGGTCTTACAAGAAGGAGATCTTCCTGCCAAGTAGAACGATCTAGACCGTGGCACGACTAACCTCCGGGTTTCATGCGACAAGCAGGCATTTCTACGCCAGCCTCGACCGCCCCAAGTCAGACGCGGGCGCGGCCGCCAAACTCGACCGCCTCGAGACGCGCATGAACTCCAAGTACAAAGAGCTCACGGAGGAGAGGAGAAGACTACCCCGCAACGCCGACGGCAACCGCCTGTCTGCGGTCATCAAACCCCTCCTCGACTCCCTCGACCACGCCTTCCTGAAGCTGGAAGAGAGCAAGAGTAGGAAGGGCGGCGTAGGGGGAGGAGGGGGAGGAGCGAAGAAGCCCTCGGCAAATACGGGAGGCTGGTTTGTGCCCGGGGACGATGATGACGACGATGATGT